GGCGAATACTTCTTTGTCTGTGAGTCGGATCCTAGCTCAGATGGATTTATCAGTCTCGCGTACGACCGTTTGGCGCTCCATTTGCTCTGATGAGTATATCACACGAGAGACGATGAAGAAAGCTACTCGACTCAATACTCGCCACGAGCTGACAAGGCTGGAGTTTGCTCGCCCAGACCATCAAAGAGCCTCCTCCGAAATTGCTTCTCAAGAACAAGAGTGGCTCCCGGCAAAGGTCCCTCCAGTAATGACGAAATCCATCCGGCACGTCAAGATTGAACTTCTTTTCATCAGAGGAGATCACCTAAAAACAAAATGGGTACAACACGTTGTTTGTTCTGGAAATAGGAAACTCCTGAAAATTCTCGAACAACCGTACCTTGTTCCATGATGTTGCCATGTTCCTACGTGCAAACTCCAGTCTTGTCAGCTTAAGGTGCGAGTATTGAGTCGAGCAGCCTTCTTCATCGTCTCTCGTGTGATATACTCATCAGAGCGAATAGAGCGCCAAACGGTCGTACGCGAGACTGATGAACCCATCTGAGCTAGGATCCGACTCACAGACAAAGAAGTATTCGCCACAAGACGGGCTATTCTCCTGTTGTCCTGAGCAGTCAAAATACGGAACGGCCAGGAATAGGTTGTGAGCGATAGCTGCCAGAGACTTGAATGGATCTAGCAATGCATGAAAAAGAGCGGACCAGTTGCCGTTCTGAAAGTATGTGCACACTCAAAATTTTTCATTTCAAATGTAACCAAAGAACCTACCGTTACGAAACCATTCTCAAACGACTCCTCGTGGTCGACAACCTTCACAGGAATTCAAGAGGCCCTAGTGATTTCTGACCTCGGTTATATTTTTGTTTTTTGCTAAGTGTGCAATACTTTTGAAACAAAGCAAAAGTTTTTCTTTAATAAAAAATTGTGTTAGCGGCTACGATGTTTCCTCAGAGAAAGTGGTAGTAGGTTATCGCACACAAGGAATTGAATGGTGAAGGTAACAGATTACAGAAAGCAATGGTATACCCAAAAAACAATGTTGGGTGTGCACATACTTTTGAAACGCACGGTATGCGCCAAGATGGCGTCGTTGTGATGCGGACAACAGCGTTCTTTACCAGATACTGTCTCCAAACAAATCCTGACTCGAAATCTTTTTTGAAGGCTCATTCACCAGTTTCACAGTTCACGATAGGAATGGTGTGTGTGTTCTCCTCCGAAGGATACACATGGTCCCCAAGGGTAACAGGAAGTACGCTATCGAGTCCCAAAACCCAACAGCTAATCGCCGAGTGATGAGACGATGTTTTTCTCCCGTTCTTTTTTCTCTGTTACTCTTTTTGCTGCTGCGATCCCTTATTTGTTTTTCTACCAAAGAAGCTAAGAAAGGTGGACTATTTTGCTGTTACTATGTTTTTTTGTTAATTTATGCTTATAATTGGATGAGTTTTTGCTTACCATAGTCGGCTTGGTCAGTCAGGACGCGCACGTACGCAATGAGGCACAGTGTGTAGCTCGCCCAAACGTTCCACACTTCTTAATTTTTCTGGTACCATTCTCATCCAGGCCTCCTTTTGAACGATTTTTCGAGGCCTTTCACCACTTTGGAAGCACCAATTAACGCAATCTCTCAGCCTTCATCGCACTATTTTCCATCTTATCTTCCATTTTCCATCATAATCTGGATTACTCAAAATTATCGTGAAGTATGCCTTCAATTCAATCTTCGTGAAGAGCATTTTGTTGATATACCTAGGTCCCTATCCAGTGTTACATGAGAACTTAAAGTACCTTACTTTCGAACACAAGTGATGTGGCAGTAACAAGTAAGGAAATCGTTCTCAGATCTTTCCTGAGACCAATAAAAGTGAATCCGACAAGGAGTTGATCTCACTCTTATGTTCAGTCTCCTCTACCACATATTACGCACTTCCATCAGGTCACCTAGCACACGTTGACTTTATAACGGCTCCTGCTGCTGCAGTGAGCGTTGCAGGAAAATACTTCTAACTCCGTCGAGAGAATTTTTAATGCTCAAAGAAACGAATTTGAAATGCTATATAGTGCTTATGCCTTTTTATTTCTTTTGTCTTTGATGCCAAAGAAGGACGCTTTATATACATATATACATACATATACTATATATGTATATGCAAGAGGTCCCAAAATTATGGGCGCCATTTCATGGCAATGTATTTCAAGCTTCTCAGCTCAGAAAGACAATGGAATCTGTAAGTAGCGCTCGAAAGTCTTCGACCAAATGTTCTTACCCTCATTTATAACTTTTTTCTTAGTGGAGCGTATAGCGCGAAACCGTGGTGTTTAGCTAAAGAATGTTTCACACTATCCAACACTACTTGACTGCAAAGCAGCAATATCTCCTGATAGAGTAAGGTGTTTGTTGCCGTAGCAGATTTTGCTAGAAGCAAAGTTATTGACGTCTGCAGTTACTCGCACCTTATGTGCGTTTTTCTTCTCTTCTAGGTTCGGCATTAGCGCTCATTAGCGTACAGTTTAGACATGACAAAAGCAAAGAAACTGCAGAAGAGCAATGTTTCGTATTTCTAGTTGATTTTGAGTTCAAGCCCTTTGGGATATCTGGATCATGACCAGACTGCAGGTTGATAATGGTACATATGCCGAACTTTCGCACGGTTATATCAAGTAGGAGAGGAGTTACGACTGAAAAGTACAACTGAAGAAGCATTTGGCCGAAGACTTTTGAGCGCTACTGTATTTACATTTGCTTACATTATGTGCTACATAATGCTACAGTCACATTTCAAAATATCCCCCATGAGCATGGATAGATGAGGTCCAAAGTTTGCACTTGTTTTCTTATGTGGCACGTAGGTGTCCTCTTCCATTTCTTTTCGGCCGTTCTTGAGTCCTGCTTTCTAGGACTCCAAAATGGGACTGCAAACTCTACAGGTCCTCTTCCAGGAAGGGACTATAACGGAGGAGTCAAGCTGGTTAAGGTCTGACCATAAGAAGCAGGATGGTAATTTCTCCTTGCTAATGAATTCGGGCAGAACCATACCGAAGGAGCTCGACTCTGGGCTGGAGTACCGCCGTGCTGGGAGGACCACGAGCTGGTGTAGGAAGCGGGTTTGAATCAGTGCCTCATTACGTCCATCAGTAGGCCAGTGGAACACAGGTCTTTGTCAATTTTCTCGTCGGCACCGACGAAAGCACGGGTGTCTTACCCTTGCCAATGAGCCCCTCAACATCATTTTGCTCGCAACCGGAACGTGAACATCGTATAAGTAGAAGGATGGTTTTTTCCGTAAAAATTTCTGAGCTGGAGAAAAAGATGCAAGGATGTGTGCCCCAACTCAAGCGAGACCTGCATTTTTTCACCCTACACTGTCTGTTGAGTGAAACTCGCCCGCATTTTCAACATGTTTCAGCATGTGGCTCCCTTTTTTGGCTACCGTCCACGTTATTTTCAATGCGCAGTCCACTGGCGCCTTCTACTTTGCGGACAGTCGACGCCGTGAATGAAACAAACGACGCTTAGCGAGTTGAAACGGCAATTTCTGACAGAATCATTTTGAATTCTTTTTTGGTATTCGGAGGGCCATTTAGCGGAAATGGACCGTAGTTCTGTACTCAATGCTCATGCCCGTACACCATACACAATTTTTTTAACAACCAACCATTTTTAAAAAGCGTCCCACGCCCTGAAAGAAATTCCTTGTAAGATGGCGATCTGTACTTCCTACGCACGAACGCTTGCATCGGAAGCGCGTATCGAAGATCTGATGATGCAAGCTTGGAAGATCAAGTACGACGTCATCCGACTCAACGAGTAAGGAGGGGTCGCTAGCTGCACGCATTTTTGAGACAGGAGAACTATTCTTTTGAGTAAGCGATAGCGGAGTAAGCGTTGTAAGTGTTCTAGTCAATACGCACTTGGCCATGAACATCGATTCATACGAAAGCTTGATAACATGAATCGGGTTTATTGTTTTCGAGAAGATGTGGCTCAACCTCAGACCTAACCATCTTCGTTGTCTACTCACCAACATCAAGCTACGAAGAAGGGGAGCTGGAAGCGTTCTACACGGATCTAGAAAGGCTCTTCAGAGAGGGCCACATGTTCTTCAGGGTAATCGTCGGTGATTTCGACGCCTAGATTGGTCCCAGAAGAAAGGCTGAGGAAATGCATATTGGGACTCACGGAATGGAATGGAATGAACTGAAAGACTGTCCGAGTTCATCATGTCGACCGTTACAATCCATAGTAATTCGCAATCGACAACATCGATGGAGAATAGAATCGACTCGTCGAATATCTCCACAATAGTGCCAAGAAAGCGGAGAGTCCACATGTAGCCAAGGGACGTCCTTCTCCAAAAACTCTTGTGCTGATAGGACAGCGTGGAATAGCGCATGGTTGGTAATAATCAATAAACGTCCGATTTGGCGAAGCTATGCAGAGAAGCGCTAATATAAGGTCTTGTAGAGGGAAGAGCAAGAGTATTCGGAAAGTGCGGGAGCTTCGCCATGCTCAAGATCAAGATGACTTCCGTTCATCATCCTGATGGGATAGTTATTGCATCTTGACTGGCAATGGAGAAAGTGATCAACTTCTACTCGTATCTTCTCAACAGCCGCGAGTACCTGCTTACCATCTTAGACAAGACGAATATGTCGTTTTTTAAATTACTCCTCCCATAATTCGACGTGTATCGGTTCGATGAGGAATTGTACGGCGGCCGGTTCCGATAGTATCCATCCATAACATCTAAAACCAGTCATCTTCAGAGCCTTCGCAAGGCTCTGCATGCCGTACATGTTGGAATGCAAAGTGCACACGACTGGCGCCCCATCTGTCTGATCTCTGTGATCCAAAAGCTTTACACGCGTCATCCATAACAGGATGAGCAGAATACTAAATGAAGGACAGCTATCCGAACAACTAAGGTTGTATTGTTCACACATTCGATCCCAACCACACTGTTAAAAGACTCGTGGAAGTGTCGCTAGTATACAGGATGCCATCATGTCTTTCTTCCATCGATTCGGAGAAAGCCTGTGATACTGAAGCGTTAAAGGCGCAGTTCATGATGAAATTAGTTTCTGAGATTTCCTTACAGGATGAATTCGAAGCCCCCTCTCATACCATATCTGGCGCTATCAGGTCGGAAAACGGCCGTGTTAGGGCGTTATAAAGGCTCAAAGATTGTAACGTGTGTATCCTCGAACGAGTTTCAGCGGCATTGTAGGAGCTGCACCGATCGCAAGGGAACCCGTGTAGGAAGTTAATACAGCTTGTCATGACCTATAACGACGGTAAATGGCAGAGCTGTACATTCCTGGCTCGATGTAGTCAGTTCTTTGCGCAATTGCAACAACTGAAATATCGTCCGGATACCCCTTCTACTTCATTACCGTCATGGTAACCTCGTCCAATCTCATTCCCCTACTTTAAAGAAGCCACATTTTTCAAAAAAAAAACGACGATTTTTCTCGCTTTACGACTAGAATTTCTCCATTCTGTAAGGACTTGTAAAGAGCGCCATTCTGTAAGGACGTGTAGAAAGCGGCTCGGCACGGGATTGTGTCTGATGCTTCTTTCACGCTGAACCGAACGAATATCTCTGGATTCCCTAGCTACGTGTATCTTGGTCGAGATATCAATATGATGAACGGCCTAGCCCCAGAGCTGAGCAGAAGGAAGCAGGCAGCAGGGAACATTTCGGTTCCGTGCTCAAACTTTCAACATGCTGTCCTTCCTGCTTTGACCTGCGCCTCGGTGACTTGGGCTCTACGAAGGCACAACGAGTATGCTTTTGGAAGGACGAAGTTGGAACTTTGTTTATACACGCAAGTGTGGAAGGAAATCCGGTTTTTCGAGCTCCGTCAGCGAACGAAATTCAGGGATGTCGGTTTACGCCACAAAATCAAAGTTATTGTGGACCAGACACCTTGTGCGATAAGTGATGACCATTGGACCAAGACGGTTACTGAGTGGATCCCTCGACACGTTAACCGAGCACCAGGACGGCCGCCAGCGCGACGGTCAGACTTCTTCACGAAAGTCCTGAACGGAAGCAGTGCTAGGCTCGTGTCCCTCCAGCGAGGGCAGTATGTTGGCTCTGTCTTGCTCCAACAGGGATGAAGAGGACTTTACGGGTGACCGCTTAAGGAACTTGATGATCAATGGGATGGCAGGTGATACAGGTGATATATCAGCAGCTAAAGTTTTACTCGATTGCCTTTACATTTGTCAAACTACGATCTGCAAACTGTCGTTTCATCTTGAAACAATAACAATAAACTGCAATTGTTTCATAAGCTCTGAGAGCAAGAGACAGAATTTCGATAGTGACTCCACCAAAAGCTGTTAGTGACGTGGTTCAATTTCCAGAATTCATCAAGAACTTCAATGCTTAGAGCTTGATCCTATTGTTTTCAGCTTTGAGGCCGACAAACGACGTTTACTAGCTGAAAAAGAAGCGCTGAGTAAAAGACGACGATACCTCACGTCAAGTGAAACATTACAGAAGTTGACAAAACCTCCATATTTTTCTCGGGAGAGTCTGACGACTTCTAAATTTACAACTAAAGTCGAGAGGAAGGTGAGTACATCCAGTGCTTTCTTAGCACACATCGATATTCTTCTCGAAGCAGCGAGGAGCTAGTTCGTGCGAAATGATTAGATAGTTTACAGTCATTTATTTTACTGAGATTTCCGATCATATTCTGGACCAAACTGATCGGTGCTTCCGGAAATTCGGAATTAAGGATCATCAATTTGATCGCCTGTCGTGCTTCTCCAGAATGCACTAGATCTTTTAACCTTAGTCTTTCTCTAATTTGTCCTGTTTCGTGTCATGCGCATTGTGAAAACTGCCTGTAATGCTTCGTACCTCCCCTAGCGCAGCGTTGCGCTCATGTTGATATCAACTGGCTTCCCCGCAATATGCCCTACAGCGTTTTCTATTATTGTGAAAGTCCTTGTACACGCGTTTTGCGCTTCGTTTTACCCGAACTCGCTCATAATGATTCATGACCCATCTTCACGCACGATATGCAACACTTCTTTAACCTCAGCTTCATAAGCGTTTAGTTCTTTTCGTGAACTGATAGTCATATGAAAAAACCATGCTTTCAAACATTTCATTTGCCATTTCTGGCAAAACATTCGGGTGAAATTTGCAACGATTCGAAATGTTGTCATTGTTATGAATTAACAATTTCGAAAGAACTAGTTGTCTTTTGTACAATGCCGGTTATTCTCCTCCGAACCTGTGTACTCAATTCCTCCTCACCGAGTATTGGACTAGTCTATCAATGAGACTAGTTGAGCGTACGCATATTGAGTGTGTCGTTTAGATGGTCGAACGTGTTGACCGAAAAGTATGGGTTGATGAAGTGAACGCTCTTTCACAACAAGTGGTCCCCCAGTCAAACGATTCAACAAGCGAAGAGAATGTGCGAGATAGAGTGTACAATCCCAACGACTTGAACAGAAATGGTTCTGCTCGGTATGTTTGAGACTATATATACTACATTGTGTTCTTAACGTGTTGAGAGACCCCATTCCGTATCGTGTATTGCGGTGAGTCTTCGCTTCTCGTCGCCGTGCAATCTCTTTATCATTCTTTCCTAATTCATCATTATTGGATTGTGGGTTGCCTCTTTCCGACTTTTCCACTTGCTTTCTCGCTTCAGTGTCTCGTTTCTCCGCTTTTCACTTGAGTCACCATCGTCTTCCTTCTCGAGTTTTTTTTCGGGTAGTCAAGAAGAGTATTGACTGAGGCCTAATGTTAAAAAAATTTCTTCAGTACAAGCCGATACCGTGCAAAAATGGAGAAGGCTCGACGAGAATTCATCGCAAACGGTTCGGATCCGAATGGTATGAAAGTTCAGTGGACAGTTTGATTAAGACTCAATTTCAAAACCGGTGCTCTTACTACCCACACTGTGTTTTTGCTGTTTGCACATGCATGCCGCTGCGCCTATTGCGCGAGCTGGCATTCAAGGATTCCATATCGTCTTCTCCATCCTAGCGTTCAACTCGCGCTTATAAGAGCCTGTTCCTGCTTTGTTTGATGGTAGCCTTTAGCTAGATCGTTGTCAAGTCTTCCTGCAGTGCAATGGCACAGCCTTTTTTATTGTTTCTGTCTATCAGCAGGCTTTCACTACTCACGGAATTTCGTGAGTAGTGAAAGCTTGCCTAAACATTACCACGGTTGGTACTTCATTCGTTATAACTTTGAACGACTCATAGACTCTGCCCTTCATCCAACTGCCTCATCCACAAGCCTTTCTGAACGATCTTCACTAATATCATCTAATATCCAGAAAGCTGAAACCCCGCGATTGTTTTATACTTTCTCCATGGCACTCAGTATAAGGGTCGTTTTATATAACTTTTTTGGTTCATCAATTAGTTTCCGTTCCATCGTTCGTTTTTTTTTTCACAGTTACTTGATGGGCGTTGCCTACCGAGACCGTTGACGCATTTCAGTTTGGCATGAGTGAGTTCTTGTCTCCTTTCCGTCCGGGTTATGTCGTAGGCATAGAAACTGGTTTCAGTAACCTCTTCACGGGTTGCTTCGCCTTGGTATTAAAATTAGCACAAGGCAGGGATAGATATCTTATCCTGGTTTACCCTGAAAATGATGTCCAGCTTTTTGGCCTAGCGTGTGGAGTCATAATCAATGCACAAATTCGTTCCATCGTTTTCGTGATCGGACTGAATGGTTTCTTTAGCGTACACCGCTTATCCACCCTTCCTCCTTGTCTATTCTCACAACAATGATTGCATACTGATCCTGTCTAAAGTAAAAGGCAACCATGTAGAAGTGACACTATCACTATGGCTTTGCCTTTCCTTTTGATATCCTTTCTTTTTAACAGAATTCCGTACCTTTTCCGACTTTCATCGACTTTGCTCTACTTTTCAACACCTCTTCGAATGTGTATGTTCTTTGACCGAGGTTTTACATACCTTCAGTCGTGGACGAGGTCTCACGTCCCACCCCAAACAACTGGCCTTCAGAGCCTTGGCTGTGGAATTATTTTACTCATTTAGTTGTGTGAGTTTCTAATCCCTGTCAACCGCCAAGTCAATGATGGTAGTACTAGAAGCAGCAGACATATAGCAGACAATTGTAAAGATGAAAGAATCGCAAAGAAACGGCGTAGTTGATAGACACTTGATAGAGCATTGAATTGTAGGAATCAGCCGGCTGCGGGAAACTAGCTTGAGATGTCTGAGTTAGCGTGATTGAAGTTCCTCGGTAAAAAGGACTGATTACACTGAGTGACATGGGATACAAAATGGGATACTTTGAACCAGTAACTCAAAATATATTACTCGATTGGCAGGGGAGCTTTTCAACAGAAAGAAGTTTCTTCTCAATTTCTAGAATTTTCCAAACAAAGCAAATAATGGCAACAAATTTACTGAGAAGGTAATAGAATTCAGTTGAACTTGTTACAAATCGGTGAAACTTTTGGTACAGTAATCAAATGACTGATTGACAAAGGCACTGACGATCATTTCCACACTGCCAGAAGTCATGGATCGCTTTATATAATCAGGGAAGGACCCAAGTGGCCAATCGAAATGAGACCTATACTGCTAGAGCTGTTTTTAGATGCTGATTTCAAATTTGCTTTCCAAATTCGCCAATCTAATCTTTGAACGGAGGTATGAAAGTGGTTTCAGGTGAGACTTAGGTTAAGAGAACTTTTACCGAGTGAGGGATTCTTCTGTGCGCGAAAGGTACGAGCGAGTAAAACGTATATGATGAGCAATGATGATGCTTGAGTGGGTGGGTGCGATGGCGCGTAGCAGCTCTGGATTCACCAACACCGACAGTGTTGATAGTGGACTCGTGAACATCGTTCAAAGACCATAAAGCTGTTCAGTCTGTCTTACCTCTTCAAAAGCAGGAGAAGGTAATGGATAGATCAACAATTTAGAAAAAGGAAACTTACCGGTGGTGGGCGGAGCGTTCTCGCAGTGGTCGGCACTTCCCACAGAGATTCATAACTCGATTCAACAAAGGCGTTGAGACCAAGAAAAAAATAAAAAGAGTGAGCAAGGCCTTATGGGTGCTCGACGTGCGTAAGCTTAGCGAAGGCCCACGATGGGCGGGGCGTGCGTTGAGATGAAAGCTACTCTTCAAAGATGAATGTAACTTCGTTCGAAAACGTTCTAGGGTGCGGGAAAAAAGTGGTTAGAGATAGTGGAACAAATGTGGCCAAATCCTCGGAGTGAGCGTGGTTGGCACTAAAAAGGGCGGGGCTTAGATCAAAAATTTATAGCTCTATTCAGAAACGTTCTGGAATGCGGCAAAAAGGTGTTCAGGTGTAAAAGAACAAATATGGTCACATCCCAGAAGTGTTCGGAGCTTACATCAAAATCATTAAGTCTCTTCAGATACGTTTTAAAACGCAGGAAAAAGGTGTCTGGAGGTAGTAAAAGTAATGTGGTTCAAAGTCTGAAGTGGGTGGGATTTGCAAAGAGGGAGGCGGGAGTGAGATCAAAAATTTATAGATCTGTCCTCCACACTAACCCTGACCACATAGGTGTACAACTAGGTAATACCACTAAACTCTTTAAAAATTAGGCTAAAATTTTTTTAGAAGTTAGTATCCATGTTTCCACACACGGTAGTCCCTTCTACACAAGAGCAAATGCACTACATTAACTTCAGACCTCATAAAATTCACTCTACACCAACCCACGCAGGTGCATACCCTGTAGAGATGTGTAAATCCCTACAACTACCCAAGGTACTGTCCTCTCAAAGTTAGTGTTCATGACCACACACAGCCTACACCAAAATATATGTTAATTAAAATCAGAAAAGGTTGAAGTTATTGCTTGATTAATCTCCGTCGCTCTTGCTGAAGAATATTGTGTGTACAGAAGTGTTGCTTTGATAAATTACATAATACAAAATCAAGTGTTATGTATACCACGCTAGTACTCCGGCCGAGCTCGACAAACTTCTCTACTACACATCAATAATGACGTCATCGGACGCTGTAACATCGTGCCTGCCATCATCATGGAAGAAATAAGAACTTATAAGTATTGTAAATTAAAAAATGATCGACTGTGCTCGTTTACAGAAGGATTGCGTTTTCTAGGATCGGAAAATTTGAAGTTATTCTTATTCTGAACCTTCGACGATAAATTGTTGACCTATGAAGTAAATTTCCAATCTCAAAGGGGTTTCATTGCCATAGTGAAGAGAGTTGCTCTAATTCATGGTGAAGCCGTCGACTACTGCAAAACTTATTTGGTCCATCCCATCAGAAAGGTATTGAAGCGATGCTGCGTGCGCGAAGAGCTCTACTGGGGTCACGCGTGAATCGCGCGCCCCCCAGCGTCCCAATAATCACGCTTCGAGCCGCCGCTGAGGAAGAAACCTGGTTCATTGCCATTTGTGTTCGCTTATGTTGTCTCACACAAAAACACTCTCATACTTTCGTTCTGAAATCGCTGACAAACTTCGAAGACAGGTTTGCGATCAGCCTCATGTAAAGCCTGTAAAGTCAGAAGAATACTAAGGAAGTTGCTACATTCAAGTCGAAGGTTATCCTACTATATATAACGCGCTAAGTGTGTCTGTTGGTTTGTCTG